CTGCTTTCACGCTTACAAAACAGGAAAAATCAAAAGGAGGAAGATACAGCTGTTTTGAAACGCCATTTGACGAAGGTAAATCTGCTTTTTGTTCGACACTTTACATATCAAAACAAAGGAAATTTGTTCCTCTTTTTGATTCTGGCGGTACATTTTTAATTTGCGCCTGCGTAAAAGAGATATCGCCCGAGACCCTTCGCTCGCTCGGAGAAAAGGTAAAAATGACGAGGGAAAAACTTTACCTTCAAGTTAGAAAATTAGCGAAATAGAAAGCCACAATATTATAGTTTAATATTTCAGAGGTACATTGAGTGCTTTTTCCGTAGAGAATCCGCACGATGGTAAAACATTCGAAAATTACACTCGATTTGAGTGGGGTGTTGAAGTGGGCGTGGTCACTACATTCATGTTAAGACTATTTGTACCCCATGAGTTTGATATATGCTATTTATTTTTTAATGACACTCAGTGAACAATTTCCAGCTCTTCGGAGATAACGAAATAATTAACAACATTTCATTCTTGATTTAATTAATGACGAATGTCCCGCTGGTTTAAAGTTCAGTCTTGCGTTTTAAAGCTCATCCTTATGTTTTGTGTGGAAGAAATGCTGTCCGCATTTTCGGCAATAACTGTCCTGAGTCATGACCACGTTTCCTTCAAAGTGAGTCTCAACTGGCTGCTCTGTTTTCAGTAGATCATGTTGTCCGTTAGGGCAAGGGTTGATTTTCTCAACTTGGTAGGAATCTTAAGTGAAAGTCATTCGAGAATGGACCACCTCTTTTTGGAATTCTCTGTACGTCTTACGAACCTTCTTGAGTCCTACGGCTCTTAACACAGACTTAACTGGTTTTTCTACCACCTCCTTGAAGACTTTTTTATCTGGTTTGAAGACGACTTTTCTCACAGTTTTTTCTACCTTCTTTAGAGCTCTGCGAACAAAACCGGAACTCTCGTCTGGTGCACAAGCGATCACAATCAAACAGATGATCATGAGTAGAATCCACAAAGGCAAGTAGATTTCCTCATCCTGCAGTAAATGTGACTCGGTAGAGGAAGAGGTTTCTATTCGAAGAAAGTGTTTTCCATAATTTATCATTGAACTTTTACACTCTAACTTCATGGAAAATGCCCACTGAGTGAAAATGACTCAGCTTCCGCTTTTTTTGTATCAAAGGTCACGCAACAGATATTACGTAAACTCTACGAATTGCTTTCCCTCGCTGAATTTTTTTGGTTTAAAATCATTCTCATTCTTTAAATTTCTATACCAGGATGAATCTCACTGGCATCATGTAAGCTTTTCTTTAAAAGTTTGACTCGAAAAAAAAGATAACAACAGCTGGTTCGTGGGGTTAAACACTTCTTTGTGTTATTTCTGGGAAAAATCCCGTACCTATCCAGCCTATTACTAAGCTTCTCGTTTATCAAACGTCACTCAACAGTTTTTACGCAGATTCCATGAATTGCTTTGATTCTGTATTCACGCTGTTACAGCACTTTCCTGACAATGTCGGATTGGAAACCGTCCGTATTCTGTGTCTATAGATCAAGGAAGGGTTTCCCTGGCATCTCCGGGACTCATCCTCGCCTTAATCTGACAGAGCAGGTTGTTGCAAAGGGTTTGAGCGCAAAGAAATGGGTTTTAACCCTATGCATAGCATAAATGAAGGCGGTGTTCTCTTGATTTTCCTCACTGGGAAGCTTCCCTGAAGAGCCATTTCCGGTTTATCAAGGTCACGCAATAGATCTTGTGTAAATTACTTTCTGTTTTCAGGTCTCACTGCTTCAACAAATTCACAGAAATGGCTCCTGCTTCGCTTTCTGAGTTTTGCTGGTTCAAAATTGTTCTTCTTCTATGCGTTTTCAGACAAGGAAGGGTTCCAATGGCGTCTTGTGAGCTTGTGCCTGCAATGTTTGATCCTGGAACGAAGCAAGTTATCTACAATCCAGGACAAACTCGTACACAGAAAAAAGATTTGGTCGTGAAATAGCGCAAGACGTAAAAACGGAAAAAAGCAGTCGAACAAGCAAATCAGAAGCTTTGGATTAAATCTAAGGTTTCAAAACAGCGGCATCCCTTTGTTTGGAGTGAATTATCAAAAGGTTAAAATTAACGAGCAGCGACAGGAAAGCCATCATCAGGTGAACATTGCCATTAACATACCAAGTGATTGTGACGAGGGCTGCAAGAAACACGCTGATAAATTATTTCAGTTGGCAAATAACGCTCTTTACAGTGATGCAAAGCAAAAACGTCTCAACTGACGGAACTTGCAACTTTTGGTCAAGAAGGAGACTAAGGCAATACAGTCGCGTTGGTAGATAAAGATGCATGACATTTTCAAAGGGTTTTGTTCACCGAAATTTCGCTTTTACAATAATGAAACCCCTGCGGTATAACAGAGACAAACTTTCGAAATATCACGTAAACGATTCAAACATCACGGTTTGGATGAATGGAAAATGTAAATATACAGAGGAGACGTGGCCGGATTTGAGTGGACGCATCAGAACTTTGTGTCAGATCAGACTTTTGTCCCACAATTTTACAGATTCAAGGATGTAATGATATAGTTCTAATTACGGTTGGTCCTGTGTTGCTGATCACGTGAAGTCGGATTGCATGTGCATTCGCATAAACGTGTTAAAAACGACTTTCATTTGTTGAGGTTTATCCCATTTGGTATCAAGTGTCGTTTACAATGTCAAAATTCATTCTCACTTATAACATAGGTTTCATTTGAACAATAAAATACTGCAGCCCTGTTTTTTCTTCTTAGCATTTGAGTTGGTAAAGACCCGACGAAATACACGGCTTCGTTAAAATTATCTCGACTAAACCCCTACAGAGCGAAATTAATGACAAAAACTAAAACTTTATGTCCGGGTAACACGTGCTTTTATTTATGATATAAGAAATTTAGATGTAACCGGTGACAATTAAAACGAATGGTCCAGTGACCCATTCAACAAAATCTGTATTTGATAACAGAATACTATGATTGAATTTCTGGCCCCTTGTTCGATATATAGCTGGGCTCAGCTTCCTTATTGTAACTAGTCCTACAATGAGGTAAAAAATTAACTAGCTTTTATTCAAGGTACCGGAAACTCCAATCTGACTCATTACAATAAAAACAGAATGGTCGAGTGACCTGTTGAACAAAATCAATATTTTATAATTGAATTGTCCAGTTGTATCGCTGGCCCCATGATTCATATATAGATTGGACTAACTTCTGAAGTATTCTAAAAGTCTACAATGATTAGCTAAACTAACGAACCATGCATTTTTTGGACGAATCGATTCCAAAGTTCGTTCCAGCCTTAAAAAGTCTAATATTTCAAGGCATCTCGCTTTCATAATGAAAAAACGTAAACTGGAAAACATGTGACAAAAATATGTCATCCTAAATATCAACATATCTGTTATTTTTCTTTGTGAGAAGGCTAAAGAACCATTCTGGCATATAAATCATAATGATAACCTTTTCGTTAGATTATTCAAAAGTTGCTGACGCGTTTTTGTTAAAACTTATTGTTCAGGCTGTGTAGACAATGGAGGGCCCCTCACGAAAACTACTCCTAACATCTAAGTGACAAACATGCCTGACTGCTAAGAGAAATCCTAAATACTATTAATTGCTTCACATAAAAAAAATGTTTCTGTTGTATCACACGAAATGTTCCGTTTCGTACGGCAGAGGCAAAGATGATGGTCTTCAAAGAAGTCAGCTTCACTCAGGGTACAGGATTTGCTGATCAGTTTTGAACCTTGCAGATTATGTCTTCTTTCCTGTAAGATAAGATTTACAACATGAGCCGAGGAGTTATAAAATATTGAATTGATTCGTCGGTAAAGTAATTGTTGGTTCAATTCAGTTCTTTCAAGAATTTCTGCTGTTTTGACAGGTTTAGTCGCTGTGAACTTCAGATACTGCGAGGCGGAATTTGATAGAATTTACTCGCAGCAGCTCGCTATGGAATTAAGACCCTCTACGTCCATCAATAACTTATTTCCTGCCGTCATTTAAGATACTCTTCCATTTGTCTCGTTCAAAAATACATCTGGGAACTATATGAGATACAACACGAATCCTTCCTTCACTATAACCAGCTTATAAACTTTCTTTACTCCATAACATGAAATAAATAAGGGGGGGTGCGTGTGAGTCTTCAAAGTGACTTTTCTAAATCGTCCGAATTTGAGGGAATACGCTACAATGTCTCCCTTTACACTCTAAGATAAAATCAATAAACAGGCTCAACCAAAACCCGAGAGTGTCCCTGACTTGCTACAACGTGGTTGATTTTAAACTTAAATCCTGGTTCCTTCTGACATGTCATAAACAGTAGATTTAGGCCTCAGTAGATTCCCATCCCGATTGTCATTTTTAATGCGGTTTTTTTTAATACAAACCTTTCCCCTTTTCCTTAAAACTTACCTCAATGTGACATTATCTCCAATCAGCATGAACGGAGCCCATTTCTTCACTTCAGAATACTTGGGGTTACCTCTCATCCACTTTCTGACCTCGTGAAGAGATTCACTGGCACTCTCACCACGGAACAAGTGTTCGTAGAAACATTTCATGAACTTCTCAGTTGATTCGTCGTCCAAGGCCCACCGCGCCACCAACACCGAACGAGCACCGGATCCTAAGAAGGCTCGAGCGATTCCAATTACTCCTTCGACTTTGATCTCTCCGCACCCACTGTGACAACAGCTTAGAACTACTAGTTTAGCTCGAAGTTGAACTTTTGATACATCAGCCATCGTCAAAAGGTATTCTTCTTCCTGTGGAGTACTGTTAGTTGTACTGACGGGGGAAAGTGCTATTTCTCCTCGATCGGGATTTCCGTGAGCCGCAAAATGTATTAACGCAACTGACTTCTCTTGCTTTCGGTAATGGATCAAGGATCATTTGCTTTCCCTTGTAAATCACTTCTCTCACTTCAGGTTCACCCACTATCAGTGCCCCAGTCTTACAGTGATAGTTTGAAGGACTATCCTGAATGACCTTAAGGACCGTCAAAGAAGGAACTATGCGGATCCTGAATTTGTCCGACAAATATCTTCCTCCTTCGTCAAGTAAGGCTGCAAATGGCACTTGGTACGTACAGCTGTCAGGGACAATGATAATTTCAGGTTCTTTCAATAAATCGGCCACAGGAGCGATAATTAGCTTGTAGAACAAACGCAGACGTGTTTTCATATCCTCAGTTTCATCGTGGGATAGAGGCGATCGCCTAACATCACCAGATAACTTTAGAACAGGTTCGTCATTTAAAGAGCGATCTTCGTAATTCTCCGTGGATAGGATGGCAAAGTGGCGGAAACTCTCCGAAAAAAGCACTTTCGGGTTGGGGACTGACCCGGCATTTCCAAAACTGTCTGAATCCATTCCCTTTTTACGCCGGAAAAGAATCTGTCCGCTTGTTTTGAGAATCCAAATCCATACATCTTCATCATCAACCGAAAGGTAAACAAAAGTACAATTTGCTTCTCTTTTAATGATATCATGGATGCTAAACAGTGATTTTGGATCACCTGAAAACTGGGCCTGTTTAGCAGAATATTGAGCCATCATTAAGTCCGCAAGGGCTCTTGCCCGTCTGAGTTCCTCAACGTAAAGAGAAAGTTCAGGATTCTCGGTAATAAAAGTCAATTTACTGAGTGTCTTATAGGGAAAGGCACCATGCTTCTCCATCAAAGATATTTTGAAGTAATCATTGTCTTTTACGAAGTGTCGCAATTTTTCGAATTTTTCAACAGATTGAAAGAGATACGAAAACGCTTCTTGGATATCGGATTGAGCCAACTTCAAAGCCGTTAGACCGCAAAGAGTTTTAAACTCACTCATATTATGACCAATGACTTTGCAAATTGAGATAGCCTTGCAAAAATGTACTTCAGCTTGGTCAAGTTCACCTAGTGAATGAAACAATGCTCCTAAGTTTGCGTAGTCAGCTGCTTCTCCCTCTCTGTCGCCAATTTCCTTTCTGATTGCAAGTGCTTTCTCGGTGTATTCTTTAGCCTTTCCGTATTCACCCAGTGAGTGAAACAATGTTCCTAAGTTTCCGTAGTCAGCTGCTTCTCCCTTTCTGTCGCCAATTTCCTTTCTGATTGCAAGTGCTTTCTCGGTGTATTCTTTAGCCTTTTGGTATTCACCCAGTGAGTGAAACAATGTTCCTAAGTTTCCGTAGTCAGCTGCTTCTCCTTCTCTGTCGCCAGTTTTTTTCCTGATCTCAAGTGCTTTCTTATAATATTCCTCAGCTTTGTCGTATTCCCCAAGTGACTGAACGACAGTACCTAGGTTTCCGTAAATGGTAGCTTCCCTAATTCTGTCACCATAGGACACTGTGATTGCCAGTGCGTTCTCGAAATACTTCTTAGCTTTGTGATATTCACTACGGGAATAAGATATATTTCCCATGGCTAGGTAACATTTTGCCTCAATTTTTTTGTCAGCAGTACATTTGGTCATATCAATTGCCTTCTGATAATATTGTTTTGCCTTTTCAAACTCATTTTGGCTCTCATATATCTTTCCCAGTTTGAAAGTCATTTTTCCTTCTTCAATTGTGTCACCAGAGGCATGGTACATATCAAGAAGTTCCTTGGCATATCTTTCTGCAGATGTGTAATTGGAAGCCATGCAAGCGGCCTGGAGCATTAGCGTATAGACTGCCATGATAATTTGAAAACGGGTCCTCGATTTAAGCTCGTCAGATTTTAGAAAATTCAGACATTCTTCGCATAACATCATGGCTTGTAAGCCACGACCAGTGTTCAGGAGGAAGGTGGCAACCACTAACCCAATAACCATCGAGAAGGTTTCTATAAGTTCTTCTACGTTGTCCATTTTCGACCTTTTGCCGATTGTTCGAATGAAATGAATGAGACAGCGTAAGGATTTAATTTAACTTTGTTAGATCCGTTTGCAGCCGCTTGATTCAATACTCAATACTTTTCACAGGAAAGTGCCAACTGTTAAATGTATAGCCAGAGTCAAGGCCACAGAGAAGTTTTCCATAAGTTATCCTGAGTTGTCCATTACGAACTTTCCCCGATTGTTCGAGCGAAATGGATGACACAACTTTAATCTGAGGATTTAAATCAGCTGTGTTAGATCCGTTTGCAGCCACTTGATTTAATAGTTTCTTACTAAAGAAATTCGGTTGATTTGAAGACAAGTGGCTCACCAAAATTTCCTTCTGTCCTATATATGTTATTTGCCGGCTGGGAGGTCCGTATGGTGAAAAACTGTGACCGAGGTTTTGAAAATACTGCCCGAGGCCGTAGGCCGAGGGCAGCATTTTGAAGACCGAGGTCACAGTTTTTCACCATACGGACCGACCCTTAGCCGGTAAATAACATATTTATTGTTTTAAAACTTGACGAAATTCTTTCCGAAAGAACCCGAATGATTTAGGGCTGTAAATACGGCAAGATCTTCCATAAACTGAACAATTTTTGAGGGAGTAAATGGGTAGTTAAAATAGCGGTGATGCAAATTAAAGAGAGATGCCTCAGCGAAACATTTTCATTTCCGTAACGATAAAGATGATTTATCTTTGACCGACGTGTTTGCTTAAAAATTCTGCTCAGCCGGAAAACGAGGTATATCTATGAAAAATGACAACGAAAGTTGGGATGTACTCGGCGACTCACGAAAGCGTTACCGCGGCCCGTGGGCAGAGATAGGAAAATACTGACCGGGTAAAGAACCAATCAGATTGCAGGATTCGTTACCGTGCCCTCTAAAAAAACAATAAAATTGGTTATTTGCCTAATGTATTTGGTTTCGCTTGACTTACTTAGTCTTATATATCATAATTATTCATGTTTTGGAAAGTTTTTGTAATTAGCGAGGAATTGGGGATCAAAATCAGCCGATGAACTCTAGTATTTGGTTTAAAGTCAAAAGAAGCTGTTAACATGATGAACTTACAGTTTCACAACAACAAAGTTACGTACAAGAACTGTCTCAAATCTCTTGGCCTAGTGATTGAAATCCAGATAAAAGCGATGCTGAGGCACGACTTTCCATTCGAAAAAAAATGCAGGTTGTTTCACTAACAAGTTACAACACAATGCACCTATCATGAATTCGAAGAGAGAGAAATTCTTCAGCCTAATCAAGGTCTTAAACACATAAACATGGAACTCGAGGCCCAACTCCGACATAAATCATAATCTAGCCTCTATCAGCCACCCGCTGGTCGGGAAACGAACTCGCGGATTGAAAGCTAGACTGGATGACAAGGCGAAAATCAACCTTTTTTTATCTTTTTCTGTGGATTTTTAAGCATAAAGCACTTCAAGGAACAACTGGAGCAACGTACAGTCCGCATGTCTGCGCTTCTCAAACAAAATCTTACCTGCAAACGAGAGCAAGATACTTCCGGCTTGAAGTTTGCTCGGTAGCAGCCAAGTTGGAGACATCAGATTTATTCAGAGAAGTAAAGCTCAGGTATGTATTTAAGTACGATGTTTAAGGCAGTTTAGAAGCATTGACGTAGATATCACCAAGATATCTTAGATTCTCTGAAATTTCTCTTTAGACTCGCTTGATGCCACTATTTTCCTTCCACCGCAGTTATTTAGGCGACCACAACGTGGATATTGGAGATTCATCAAGGAAATAACTCACCGTATTAACAGATTACGCTTAAGTCATTTAAAACGAACCAAAACTGATGCATGAGTCGTAAAATTTCTATAATATAGAACAAACGGAACAGACAGTACTTACCGCGTTCTTCGCTTTCGAAAAGTGAAAGTTTGCTAGCCGGGGGAAAATGCGTCACGTGACTATGATGTTTTCAACCACCCCTTATTGTTCATCCTCACGTCATCATAGAACATTTATCGACTGGAAAGAGAATTCATCACAATTTGTTTCTGATTGTGTCCCGCAGTTTTCGAAGTTAGCTTTTGCCACATTTTGAGAGAAGCGAACAACCTTAGCCACAGAAAATGGAAACATCGATTTACCTTACCCTCCCCTCCCCCCATTTCTTCTTGACTCACTTTGGTTCCACGTCTTGCGTTCCTCTTCCTAGAAAGCTGAGACATTTGAAGATTTTTGGACATTTTTGTGGTAAGTACTCGGTACTTAATTAATTTCCTTGATATTAAAGTGCCTTTCGGAGTGATATTCGGTTTAACTTAAGTGATTTAGGTTACTAACGAGGTCTTAAAATTATTCAGTTCGGTTAAACACTCTGGCCTCCTAACAGAACATAGTTTGCGTGGAAACAAGGAGGCAGTAGGGTCAGACAGTAAATCACAACTGTTTTGTAAGTGAGTGGGACGAAACGCTGAAAAGTTTAACTCAACTTGTTAAACTTTCTATTCTACCGTTTATTTACTACAAACAGGATTGTTCTCGTGCCTGCAGTGATCTTAAAATTAGCAAGGATATTGGGAAACATCTAATTGCCAGCATTTTATTATTGCCTATCTGGTCCTATGACTTCGTGCCTTTGGTATGGCTGTAATACATTCACAGATTTCGATCCCTGTATTCCCCATCTGTGTGCTCTGCAGTAGTATTCCCACATCTAAATCATCAGAAAATTATTGGCTGTGTTCGTAAAAAGCGAAATGTCACTGTCACGTTGGTTTCCACTGAGACACAAAGAAAAAACTCTAACAGGCCTGTACTTTTTATTGCGTATTTTATTGTAGCTGGCTATCTTAAAATTAATATATGTATAATCTTACAACTGTTGCTCTTTGGGTGTAATTCTGACACCCTTATGTTAAATAATATGATCACTAGCCAGCTCACAGCTCATACTCACCAGCTCATATTTGGAACAAAAACCTTCCACAATAACAGCCTTGCATCAACTGACACCTTTCTAAAGATGCATTGATAAAAAAATCCTGCACCAAACAAAGAAGAGAGAAGTCAATGATCATGCTCTCTCTTGAGATGAGATTGTGTCAGAACTCTTTGGGATGTCTTTGGTAATTTTCTGAATGTCTTTAGAACTAGGCAAGAGTTATAAGATTTTCATTTAGAACTCTCCAAAAAAACTTTTTGATCTGCAGGCTAGTGTACTTCTCATTGAATGTTTCAAACATGGATGAGGAAAAGAATGAGTGGCTGGTACAGTATTATTCTCCAAGCATGTGGAATAAGCAAGTGAACCCTGGAAAAGTGGTAGATTACCATGTAAACATTCTGTACTAGCTACAGTCAAATTACTCACAAAAATTCTCACCTTGAACTGAGTGTCTGTTATGGTGAAAAAAAAGGCTAAGATGGATATATTCTATCCTTCACAAGAGACTGATGAGACAGCTGTTCTGTGAAAAAAATTGGTGGTAGTTCTGCACCAGTAATACTGTTTGTTCATGGTGGGTACTGGCAAGTAGGGAGCAGGAAGATTTACAGCTTTGTTAGTAAATCATGGACTAAAGCTGGTTGTGTTGTGGCAGTGGTGGGTTATAACCTTGCACCAGAAGCAAGCTTGAATCAGATGGTTAGTGAAATAAAGTCAGCAGTAAAATATATCAATACCAGGTTTCCAGAGTCCAAACTGTTCTTGTGTGGCCATTTAGCTGGGGCACATTTGTGTGCTATGATGATGGTGTCAGACTGGAGCAAAGATCCTTTGATCCCACGAGCCATTCATGGTATGTTCTTGTTATCAGGTTTTTTTGATTTGGTACCGATTGTAAATACTTATGTTAATGATGCATTAAGACTGACAGAGGAATCTGCTGCGCAAATCAGTCCTCAACAAATTCTGATAAAGATGTCACCAAAGTTTGTGTGTCCTATTTTGGTTGTGATGGAAGAGCATGGTTCCCCAGAGTTTCATAGACAGGCTAAAGAATTTGTTGAAATCTTAAAAAGTCATAATGTTCAGTGTTCTTTGCTTGAGCTACCAGGAGTAGATCACTTTAGCATGATTGAAAATATGGTGAATAGTAATGATCTCCTCTTCCAGGAGAAAGTTGTCAGAAATATCAACTCAGCAAGGAGTGAAATAGGAGTCAAAGGTCCAAACTCAAGTCTTTAATTTCACTTTGTGAATGGCTTATGCATTTACCCTGAGTTTATAGAAATTGTAGTGCATAGTTATGCTGCTATTTAGAGGTTTTGCTCAGTATTTAAACATGAATATTACCTTGATGGATTGAATTTACTAATGATTCTGATAGCATGATCTCTCAGGGAAAATTTACATTTTTGCTGCTATTTTTTTTACTCAAGTTACTTGGTATCATAATTGAGAAAATATTTTAATCAGCTACTGGTGTCGAAAATCGAAATTACCTTGAAAACTGGCTTTGTCCAGAACATTTTTAAGGTGTTCCTTCAAGTAATTATGAAGATGATGAACGCAGCACGCAACACGAAGATGCTGTGTGTGTAATTATCATTTAGATTTTAAATAATTAAACATTTGAAATTTACTTTCTGATTTACTGGTTTACAAGAATGATCAATTATTTATAAACACTTTACACCCAAACATCAGTATCCATATTCTCTGTACTGTTCTCTATGCATCTTTAAGGTGCTGACAAGGAGAATTTGTTTACCAATCAAGAGCATCTTAAGTTGGTGATCATTTCCTTTATTCTTGTGACCTTGCTGTGTGATTCAAGGGAGATATTGCATGGAGAAATTAGATGCTAATCACTCTTAGGGGTCAGAGGGTTAAGGCTGCCTTATTTGGTCACCAAAACAAATGGATGGCAGCCATGATGGCTTTCAAATCTGTTTTGAGAGATTAAAGTTCTTTTGTAGTGCAAAAAGTTTCTTCAACATGGCTGCTTGCTACTGGATCGAAAGCAGCCTCTCAAAAAAGATTTTGGATGGACATGCTCTGATCAGAAATTGTCATCCCTTGAAAATTATAGACCCTCTGATGCAATAACACACTTCCTATCATGTTCCTCTTGCACACACAAAAAATATGGGAATAACATTTTTTTTACAATACTGTCACGTCATCAGATTATTTTTTAGGATTGTAGTCTGTTCCTCTAGAGTCAGTTGGGTAAATTTAGCAAGAGATACTTTGATTTTACTACATGACAGTCTAAATTACTCCACACAGCTTTAAGTTAGAGTTTGCTTGAATTAATTTCCTTGCATGTGTTTCTGTTGGATCCCTATTGTTTTAGTGTTTTTTGAGTTGTTTTTCATGCCTTATCTGAGGTCTGATCTCTCTGTTGCGTGTGTGAGGCCATAAGGAAGGACAGGGTCAATGATTGTGATATTGCACCCTTAAAATGTATATAAAAAAAGTATCTGCTTCTGATTGGAGCATAATTGCAAATTACAAATAAAGCGCACACTCTCAACAGTTTGTCTGTCCTGACTTTCTGCAATGCTTTTTTGGTGTAAATATTACTGTTAATAACATAATTTCTTAACATGTAATTTGCTGTAAATAAGGACTTGTAAATTTTTCAGACTACAAATTTTGGTTGTCTTTGAAAATTGTTCCATGCTTATTCACACTGAATTGCGCTTGAAGTCATGTTATTACCTATACCAAAAGAATTCAAGTAGTTGTTTTTTTTATCTCAAGCCTGTGTTTTTTCAGGCTTACGTCACCTGTCATCTAGTGTTTGACTGTGATTAATCATTAACAATGTTTATTGCCTGACTGTGTAATAATAATAAAAAATTTAATACCTGTAACATGCACATATTCATTTACATAAGTTCATATGTGCAAAGTCATTGCTGTTGATAGCTCTGCTTTAGAGAATTAAGCCGGGGTTTCAAAACAAGCAAGCAACTGCCAGAGTTCTTCCGGCTACTTGTTAACAGGTTGCCTGCTACTCTGTTCAAAATAATTACCTCTAATGCCCTTAACCCATGAACTCCCATGTGTGACCAAGACAGAATTTCTCCTTACAATATCGATACAATATCAAGCAGACTAGTGATGAGAATAAAGAAGAATGTTAGTAAGGGGATTATTAGTTGATCCAACACCAAATTCTCAAAACTAACATCACAAGAACTGTTTGGCAGACAGTAAGGAGAATTACTAATGAGATCATGAGAGTTAGAGGGTTAAAGAACTTTTCACAGTCGCCCACTTTTGCATAGTCTGATGCAATCTTCAAAACATTTTGAAACAGGATTGATTACAATAACCATAGCAACAGCTACTTAACTACCCTACAAACCAGGGGAATTTCCAAAATGGAACAATTTTTCTCTTAAGAAAATGTCTCTACCAGAGATATCTTCTCAAATAAATGTTACTGTTTTTTTTGTTTAAATTGTGATGGTTATGATCAATTGGTAACAGGATTTTGTGTCATTGAAGTTGGTCTGTAATCATGCTTGTGATTGACAAATTAAACTCCATTGAAACTCTACTTGCTGCCTTTACTATTATTTATTGCAGTCCATTTGTTGGCAGAACAGTCTGATACTGTAGCTTCTCAGTCTATTGTCCTATCATACAAGATAAATTCCCCCGCACTTCCCCCCACAGCCTTAGCTGAAATGTTTAGCAAGCAGTTTTACCACTGTCAGTAATATTTTCTGTACATCTTCATTTCTCCATGGTTATTTCATTTTTGCGCTTTTAGCAAGGAAGGTACTGCCCTGCATTGCTCTTTTCTTGCAATCCATGTGGCCTTATTGGCAGGTGGTACTCAAGTGCAATCAGTATCATCAAGCACATAGGTAAAATTTTTAAATATGGCCGCAGTAGTATACCTCTATACTCAGGGAGAGGAGGCTGGGAGCATAGGTACAGACTTCGGATTGTCTTAGATTAAGTCTCTTAACCCTTTAACTCCCATAAGTGATGAACATGTAACTTCTCCCTGTAACATCCACACATTATCCAGCCAACATGTAATGAGAATACTCAAACTTATCAGGTAGGAAGTAGTAGTCTTGATCTAACACCAAATTCTCGTGATTTATTTACAAGGAATTGTGTAGCAGCTAGAGGTAAGAATTAAAAATCAGATCTTGAGACTTTAAGGGTTAAGTTACCTTAAATTTTCTGAATGTCCAGTCTCCTTGACATTGATATTCAACAAATAGATACCTATATGTTCCCATACACGGATCATCTAAGAAAAACACATTAGTTGCCTCCAGCTCACAGGTAGAATTACTTTGGCAGATTTGCTGCACTTGAGCGAGAGAATTCCCAGTTGGTGTCAGTAGTCATTCAGTGAGGACATGTGTAAGAATCTAGCCTGCCACAGTTTGTAGACAGAACATGTATCTTTCCCTCTTTGTTGCATCTCAGTTGGCCAGATTTACCCTTGCAGATTAAAAGGTGAACTATTGAAAAAGTTGTTGGCAGCTGTGTTAAAACAGAATGGTTGAAGTGACGGTTTTGGCGGCCATCTTGGCCGAGTAGGTAAGCACTTTGAAGGCCAGGCTGTTAAGCCCCATACATTCTTTGTAAGTTTTTCCAGCATACCGCGACACCTCTTTACAAAATATCCTTTTTCTAGCTGTTCAGTCAATATATCGAATATTTCGAATATTTTTATGCTAATCAACCATTGCACTGGCTTGATAAACGACTGAAGATTGAAGGCAGTTACCATTGAGCGGGCAATTGTTCTTTTGTCGGCATCTTACACTCGTCTCACTCATCTTACACGAAAGACAACAAGACGGAATGGTTAACTGCCTTCAATCTTCAGTCTGTAATGTGATTGGGCCTCAGTTACTGTCAACTTCTTTTATTGTAAACAGTGGTACAACCAGAATTCTCAAAACAAGAACGATAACCACACAACGTCAAGCCTGCCATGTGCCCCTGCATAACGCATGCAAGGAGACCTATAACCGCAGACCTGATATGTTTACATCTCCACCTGAAAAGTCTAATGGGTGGCAAAGGACTAACTACAATACAAAATGTTTGGCTAGTTAGGTATAACACAACGACAGCTTATAATAATAGCTTTAAAACTGAAATGTTTTCAGTCTGCAACGAAGTTTATAAGTCAATCTAGATGGTTTCCTTTACAACACGGCCAATCATACTGCTGTTCTGGACATCTTGTCGATGCTGTAGTTGCTCTTGGTTACATTCCATGGTTTGAGAGCTTGTAGTCGTCCACTGCAAAGGTAGTTGTGTGTGATAATCTCTTTGGTTTAGAACCTTAGCTGGTGAGGGTAGGTTGCTGTCAATAGGCGTGGTTCGATACGATAGAAGTGCGAGATAAGGATCTTGTCCGGCGGCATCTGATTTCTTCAACAGGTTTTTTACTGTCTGGACCATCCGTTCTATGAATCCATTGCTTTTTGGATATAGTGGGGAACTGGTAAATGTGATTAATGCCCCAATGATCACAGAATGCAGCAAATTCTCGACTGCTATATTGGGGTCCATTGTCTGTAACCAGGATTCTGGTATTCCATGCTCGGCAAAATATTGACTTGAGATGATTGATAATAGCAGCAGATGTCGTTGAGTTCAGCCTTCCTTAGATGGGGTATTTGCTGTAGTAGTCTGCGACTAGAAGATATTGTGCACCTTGGTAGTCAAACAAATCGCAACCAAGTTTCTGCTTACGGAAAACTGGCACACTGTGGGGACATAGCGCTTCCTTTGGCTGCTGTTTAGAGAATTGTATGTATGTGGCACAGTTGGCTGTTATTCCTTCCAGGATGTGAAAGTTCCCATGTGTCCTGGTGTATTATTTGAACATCTGTGGGCGGAGCCACTAGGAATCACGAGGCGGTGTCTTTGAGAACGAGGCCATTTTTCAACGCTGAGATCCTTCTGAAATTCCAAACTCCTAAGTCTTGGGGCATTCGTTCGATATTCTGGTCATGGTGGCCAACATTAAGGACGTCTTGGTCGCCGCACTGTCGTATTTCTTTCCAGTTTGGCGACTTGCTGGTGTAGAGTGCTTGTGATGGCGTTGACTTCAAGCAAAGTCACTTCGTCTTCTTTGAGGAGGTTCCATGTAACTGACCCCTTGAAATCCGCTATTACATTGGTTTTCCTGTATGTATCTAATTTCTACGTCATATTTTGCCATTTTCAGCAAAAAGCCTGCAGTCATGTGAACTCCATTATGGTCTTCTATATGCTTCCAGCGGCTTATGGTCTGTTCTATGACACTTTTGCCAAAGACATAGTGGTTGAAAACTTCTAATGACCAACAGGCGGCAAGTAGCCTCTGTTGCTGTAACGCGACCAGTCTCGGTTAGTGACCGACTTGCATAGCACACTGGTCTACTGTTTGATCAGCACATCCAATACCTTGAAGGATCCGACTGGATCAGGTTGTCTTTCTCTGGATCATAGTACGCCAAGACTGGTGCCCTGCAATTACTTGTTTAAGACTCTCAGACTAGCTGTTTAGTCAATATATCGAAAATTCCTTCCAGGATGTGAAAGGTAAGACTATAAACTATATGTAGGCTAAATATTAAGGTTCGGAAAGCCATATTTCGAATATATTTGGCGTTTAATCAACCATTGCACTGGCTTGATAAACGACTGAAGATTGAAAGCAGTTACCATTGAGCGGGCAATTGTTCTTTTGTCTTTCGTGTAAGATGAGTGAGACGAGTGTAAGATGCGCTTGTTGGAACGGAACGACAACAACACCTCTGAAACATACATTGGACTCACAGAAACCGACTTCAAAACAAGATACAGAAATCACACCGCATCATTCCGCCACGCCAAGCACAAAAACTCTACCGAACTACCGACCCGACCTCTCATCACTAAATAAGCGTAACGAACTCGTATCTTCATGCCGACACAGAATCAAAGCGTTGCTACGCAACAGCTGAACTTTAAAGTTTTTAAGTTTACCGCGTATTATGTAAATTTTCCTAGTATATACACGATAGTCACATGATTATTCTTTCATTAAACCCCTGAAGAGTGAAGCAATTCACGAAACAGGCTTGTCGGGAAATGTAGTTGCGTCCTTTTTTCCTCTCATAATATTTATATATATATATATATATATATATATGTAAGATATAATAGGCGTAATTTCTTCCAGTCGGTGATTTATGTAACTATGTAAGATTTTACGCCAGGAACTAACGGCGTAATTTCTTCCAGTCGGTTGTGTTTATATGTAAGATTTTACGCCAATAACTAACGGCGTAATTTCTTCCAGTCGGTTGTGTTTATATGTAAGATTTTACGCCAGTAAACATCGGCGTAATTTCCTCCAGTCGGTGATGTATATATGTAAGATTTAACGCCAGTAACTAACGGCCTAATTTCCTCTAGTCGGTGATGTATATATGTAAGATTTTCGCCGGTAACTAACGGCGTAATTTCCTCTAGTCGGTGATTTATATATGTAAGACTTTACGCCAGTAACCATCAGCGTAATTTTCTCCAGTCGGTGATGTATATATGTAAGATTTTACGCTTGTAACTAACGGCGTAATTTCCTCCAGTCGGTGATGTATACATGTAAGATTTTACGCCAGTAACTAACGGCGTAATTTCTTCCAGTCGGTGATATATATAATTTAAATTTTACGTCAGTAATATTATTTAATTATATATTTATATATTATAATTAATCAACCGACTCAGTTAGTGGCGTAAAATCTTACAGTATATGGACTGTGTTAGTCACATATTACGCCGTTATATATACTTCCTTGACGCGGAATTTGAGAGAATTTACTCGCAGCAGCTCGCTTTGGAATTAAGACCCTCTACGTCTGTCAGTAACTTACTGCCTGCCGTCATTTAAGATACTCTTCCATTTGTCTCGTTCGCCTTTCCAACAATAGTAGAATGCCTAAGAGAACCATACGAGATACAACACGAATCCCTCCTTTACCATAACCAACTTATATACTTTCTTTACTCCATAAAATGAAATAAATGAGGGGGGGGGGGAGGGAGGGCGTGTGAATCTTTAAGGCGACTTTCATGTCCAAATCGTAATATTTGAGAAAATGCGCTTCAATATCTCCCTTTACACTCCAACATGATATCAATGAACAGGCACATCCAAAACTCGAGTGTCTCCCTGACCTGCTATAACGTGAGTGATTTTACATTTAAATCTGGCTCCCTCTAACATGTCATAAACAGTAGATTTAGGCCTTAGTAGATTCCCATCCCGAGGGGCCTTTTTTTGCGTTTTTTTTTTAACTACAAGCCTTTCCCCTTTTCCTTAAAACCTACCTCAATGGGACATTATCTCCAATCTGCATGAACCGCCTCCTTTGTTGCATCTTTCCCTAACAATGGGACGACGCCAAGCATTTTTCCAATCACTTCAGCTTCTTTTCTTGCAGCTGGCAATGGATCGAGGATCTGTTGTTTTCCCCTGTCAATCACTTCTCTCACCTCAGGTTCACCCACTATCAGTGCCCCAGTCTTACTGTGATAGCTTGAGGGACTATCCTGAATGACCTTAAGGGCCGTCAAAGAAGGAACGATGTGGAACCTAAATTTTTTAGACAAATATCTTCCTCCCTCGTCAAGTAAGGCTGCAAATCGCACTTTGTGCATACAGCTATCGGAGACAATGATAATTTCAGGCTCTTTCAAAAAATCGGCCACGGGAGCGATAATTATTTTGTGGAAAAAACGCAGACTTGTTTTAATATCTTCAGTTTTATCGTGGGATAGAGGCAATCCCCTAACATCGCGAAATAACGTTAAAACAGGTTCGTCATTTAAAGAGCGATCTTCGTAATTCTCTGCGGGTAGGATAGCAAAGTAGCGGAAACTCTCCGCACTTTCAAGTTGGGGACTGACCCAGCATTTCCAAATCTGTCTGAAATCCATTCTCGTTTTACGCCGGGAAAGAATTTCTTCACTTGTTTTGAGAACCCAAATCCGTACATCTTCATCATCAACCGAACGGTAAACAAAAATACAATTTGCTTAATTTTTATTGCTATCATGGATGCTAAACAATGATTGTGGATTGCCTGAGGACCGAGGCTGTTTAGCACAATATTAAGCCGTCACCAAGTCCGCTAGAGCTCTTTCTCGTCTGAGTTCTTCAACGTTAAGAGAAACTTCAGGATTCCCGGTAACAGAAACCAATTTACTGTGACGCACTAACTGAACTTTTGCAGGGAACGCAACAATAACGGGGTAAAATTTTTATTTCCAGAGAGCATTGACACCTATACATTTACGTGCAATTTCAACAGTACTGGTCATCAAAGTACCGACATACAGGTGCATAATGAAAGGCAAAGTAACAAGCAAAATGTAATAGTTGGCAATTCAAAACTACTGTGGTTTTCTATAGTTTTTTAAATACTAAAACGAAAGAACTTGAATAAATCGAAAATGGTTAACATGAAAAGTTTATGCGAAAATATTTCCAAACAAACGCACGGAAAAATCCCTAAATTTTCCCGTAACATTACTGAGAATCTTATAGGGAAAGGCACATTGCTCCTCCATCAAAGGTATTTTATAGTAATTGTTCTCTTTTAAAAAGCGTCGCAATTTTTGGATTTTTTTTATTCTATTGTTAAAGATACGAAAAAGCTTCTTGCAAATTAAACTTAATAAACTTCAAAACCGTTAGACCGCCAACAGTTTTAAACTCGCTCATACTATCACCAATAACATTGATAATTGAGAGAGCCTTGCGAAAATGTACTCCAGCTTTGTCAAGTTCACTTTGGGAATCTAACAATGTTCTAAACTTCCCGTAGTCAGCTGCTCCTCCCTCTCTGTTGCCAATTTCCTTTCTGATTGCGAGTGCTTTCTCGGTGTCTTTAGCCTTTTCGTATTCACCTAGTGAATGAAACAATGTTCCTAAGTTTCCGTAGTCAGCTGCTTCTCCCTTTCTGTCGCCAATTTCCTTTCTGATTGCGAGTGCTTTCTCGGTATATTCTTTAGCCTTTTCGTATTCACCCTGTGAATGAAACAATGTTCCTAAGTTTCCGTAGTCAGCTGCTTCTCCCTTTCTGTCACCAATTTCCTTTCTGATTGCAAGTGCTTTCTCGGTGTATTCTTTAGCCTTTTCGTATTCACCCTGTGAATGAAACAATATTCCTAAGTTTCCGTAGTCAGCTGCTTCTCCCTCTCTGTCACCAATTTCCTTTCTGATTGCAAGTGCTTTCTCGGTGTATTCTTTAGCCTTTTCGTATTCACCCTGTGAATGAAACAATGTTCCTAAGTTTCCGTAGTCAGCTGCTTCTCCCTTTCTGTCACCAATTTCCTTTCTGATTGCAAGTCCTTTCTCGGTGTATTCTTTAGCCCTTTCGTAATTACCCAGTAAATGAAACAATGTTCCTAAGTTTCCGTAATCAGCTGCTTCTCCCTTTCTGTCGCCAATTTCCTTTCTAATTGCAAGTGCTTTCTCGGTGTATTCTTTAGCCTTTTGGTATTCACCCACTGAATGAAACAATGCCCCGAAGTTTCCGTAGTCAGCTGCTTCTCCCTCTCTGTCACCAATTTCCTTTCTGATTGCAAGTGCCTTCTCGGTGTATTCTTTAGCCTTTTCATTTTCACCCAGTGAATGAAGCAATGTTCCTAACTTTCCGTAGTCAGCTGCTTCTCCCTTTCTATCGCCGATTTCCTTTCTGATTGCAAGTGCTCTCTCGATGTATTCTTTAGCCTTTTTGTGTTCACCCAGTGAGTGAAACAATGTTCCTAAGTTTCCGTAGCCAACTGCTTCTCCGTTTCTGTCACCAATTTCCTTCCTGACGCTAAGTGCTTTTTCGGTGTGTTCTTTAGCCTTTTCGTATTCACCCTGTGAATGAAACAGTGCTCCTAAGTTTCCGTGGTCAGCTGCTTCTCCCTCTCTGTCACCAATTTCCTTTCTGATTGCAAGTGCCTTCTCGGTGTATTCTTTAGCCTTTTCATTTTCACCCCGTGAATGAAGCAATGTTCCTAACTTTCCGTAGTCAGCTGCTTCTCCCTTTCTATCGTCGATTTCCTTTCTGATTGCAAGTGCTCCCTCGATGTATTCTTTAGCCTTTTTGTATACACCCTGTGAATGAAACAATGTTCCTAAGTTTCCGTAGTCAGCTGCTTCTCCCTTTTTGTCGCCAATTTCCTTTTTGATTTCAAGTGCTTTCTCAGAGTATTCTTTAGCCTTTTTGTAGTCACCCAATGAATGAAACAATGTTCCTAAGTTTCCGTAGTCGGCTGCTTCTCCCTTTCTGTCGCCGATTTCCTTTCTGATTGCAAGTGCTCTCTCGATGAATTCTTTAGCCTTTTTGTATTCACCCAGAGAATGAAACAATGCTCCTAAGTTTCCGTAGCCAACTGCCTCTCCGTTTCTGTCACCAATTTCCTTCCTGACTTCAAGTGCTTTCCCGGTGTATTCTTTAGCCTTTTCGTATTCACTCAGTGAATAAAACAATGCTCCTAAGTTTCCGTAGTCAGCTGCTTCTCCCTTTCTGTCACCAATTTCCTTTCTGATTGCAAGTGCTTTCTCGGTGTATTCTTTAGCCTTTCGGTATTCACCCACTGAATGAAACAATGCTCCGAAGTTTCCGTAGTTAGCTGCTTCTCCCTTTCTGTCACCAATTTTCTTTCTGATTGCAAGTGCTTTCTCGGTGTATTCTTTAGCCTTTCTGTAATCACCCAGTGAATGAAACAATGTTCCTAAGTTTCCGTAGTCAGCTGCTTTTCCCTTTTTGTCGCCAATTTCCTTTCTGATTACAAGTGCTTTTTCGATGTATTCTTTAGCCTTTTTGTATTTACCCAGTGAATAAAACAATGTTCCTAAGTTTCCGTAGTCAGCCACTTCTCCCTTTTTGTCGCCAATTTCCTTTCTGATTGCAAGTGCTTTCTCGGAGCATTCTTTAGCCTTTTTGTTGTCACCCAATGAATGAAACAAGGTTCCTAAGTTTCCGTAGTCAGCTGCTTCTCCCTTTTTGTCGCCAATTTCCTTTCTGATTGCAAGTGCTTTCTCGGTGTATGCTTTGGCCTTTTCGTAGTCACCGAGTGAATGAAACAATGCTCCTAAGTTTACGTAGTCAGCTGCTTCTCCTTTTCTGTCACCAATTTCCTTTCTGATTGCAAGTGCTTTTTCGGTGTATTCTTTAGCCTTTTGGTATTCACTCAGTGAATGAGACAACGCTCCTAAGTTTCCGTAGTCAGCTGCTTCTCCCTTTCTGTCGCCGATTTCCTCTCTGATTGCAAGTGCTTTCTCGGTGTACTCTTTAGCCTTTTCGTATTCACCCAGTGAATGGAAGAAGGCTCCAAAATTCCCGTAGTCAGCTGCTTCTCCCCTTTTGTCGCCGATTTCCTTTCTGATTTCAAGTGCTTTCTCAGTGTATTCTTTAGCCTTTTTGTCTTCACCCAGTGAATGAAACAATGTTCCTAAGTTTCCGTAATCAGCTGCTTCTCCCGTTTTGTCGCCAATTTCCTTTCTGATTGCAAGTGCTTTCTCGGTGTATTCTTTAGCCTTTACGTATGCACCCATTGAATGAGACAATGTTCCCAAATGCCCGTAGTCAGCTGCTTCTCCCTCTCTGTCACCAATTTCCTTTCTGATTAAAAGTGCTTTCTCAGTGTATTCTTTAGCTTTTTTGTAGTCACCCAATGAATAAAGCAACGTTCCTAAGTTCCCGTAGTCCACTGCTTCTCCCTTTCTGTCTTCAATTTCCATTCTCATCGCAAGTGCTTTCTCCGTGTATTCTTTCGCTTTTTGGTATTCACCCTGTGAATGAAACAATGCTCCTAAGTTTCCGTAACCAGCTGCTTCTCCCTTTCTGTCACTAAATGCCAATCTTATTGTTAGTGCTTCCTCGGTGTATTCTTTGGCCTTTTCGTATTCACCCAGTGAATGAAACAATGTTCCTAGGTTTCCGTAGTCAGCTGCTTCTCCCTTTCTGTCGCCGATTTTCTTTCTGATTATAAGTGCTTTCTCGGTGTATTCTTTAGCCTTTTCGTTTTCACCCAGTGAATGAAGCAATGTTCCTAAGTTTCCGTAGTCAGCTGCTTCTCCCTTTCTGTCACCAATTTCCTTTCTGATTGCAAGTGCTTTCTCGGTGTATTCTTTAGCCTTTTCGTAGTTACCCAGTGAATGAAACAATGCTCCTAAGTTTCCGTAGCCAACTGCTTCTCCCTTTCTGTCACCAATTTCCTCTCTGATTGCAAGTGCTTTCTCGGTGTATTCTTTAGCCTTTTTGTAATCACCCAGTGAATGAAACAATGTTCCTAAGTTTCCGTAGTCAGCTGCTTCTCCCTCTCTGTCACCAATTTTCTTTCTGATTGCAAGTGCTTTCTCGGTGTATTCTTTAGCCTTTTTGTATTCACCCAGTGAATGAAACAATCTAGCTAAGTTTCCGTGATCAGCTGCTTCTCCTTCTCTGTCACCAATTTCCTCCCGAATTGCAAGTGCTTTGTAGGTGTATTCTTTAGCCTTTTTGTATTCACCCAGTGAATGAAACAATGTTCCTAAGTTACCGTAGTCAGCTGCTTCTCCCTTTTTGTCGCCAATCTCCTTTCTGATTGCAAGTGCTTTTTCGGTGTATTCTTTGGTCTTTTCGTAGTCACTCAGTGAATGAAACAATGCTCCTAAGTTTCCATAGCCAACTGCCTCTCCGTTTCTGTCGCCAATCTCCTTTCTGATTGCAAGTGCTTTCTCGGTGTATTCTTTAGCCTTTTCGTAGTCACTCAGTGAATGAAACAATGTTCCTAAGTTTCCATAGTCAGCTGCTTCTCCGTTCCTGTCGCCTATTTCCTTTCTGATTGCAAGTGCTTTCTCGGTGTATTCTTTGGCCCTTTTGTATTCACCCAGTGAATGAAACAATGTTCCTAAGTTTCCGTAATCAACTGCTTCTCCCGTTTTGTCACCAATTTCCTTTCTGATTGCAAGTGCTTTCTCGGTGTATGTTTTAGCCTTCTGGTATCCACCCAGTGAATGAAGAAATGTTCCTAAGTTTCTGTAGCCAGTTGCTTCTCCCCTTCTGTTGCCAATCTCTTTCTCTATTTCAAGTGCTTTCTTGTAATATTTCTCAGCTTTGTCGCATTCCCCTAGCGACTGAACGACTGTACCTAGGCTTCCGTAAATGGTAGCTTCCCTGATTCTGTCACCATAGGACACCGTGATTGCCAGTGCGTTCTCGAAATACTTCTTAGCTTTGTGATATTCACTACGCGAATAAGATAAATTTCCCATCGCAAAGTAACATTTTGCCTCCGTTTGTTTGTCAGCAGTACATCTCGTCATATCAACTGCCTTCTGATAATATTGTTTTGCCTTTTCAAATTCATTTTGGCTCTCATATATCTCTCCCAGGTTGAAAGTTACTTTTCCTTCTTTAATTGTGTCACCAGAGGCATGGTACATATCAAGAAGTTCCTTCGCATATCTTTCTGCAGATGTGTAACTGGAAGCCATGTAAGCCGCCTTGAGCATTAGCAAATTGATTGCCTCGGTAAGTTGAAAACTGGTCTTCGATTCAAGCTCTTCAGATTTTAGAAAGTTCAAACATTCTTTGCCTAACACCATGGCTTGTAGGCCACGATTAGTGTTCACGAGGAAGGTGACAACCGCAAACCCTATAGCCATCTGGAAGGTTGCTATAAGTTCTTCTTTGTCCGTTTTCGACCTTTTTCCGATTGTTTCCGAAAGTGCTTTCTCGGTGTATTCTTCAGCCTTTTCGGATTCACCAGGTGAATGAAACAATGTTCCTAAGTTTCCATAGTCAGCTGTTTCTCCCTTTCTATCGTCAAGTTCCTTTTTTATCGCAAGTGTTGGGGTAAACAAAGGAGCTGGTGATAGAAGGATGCACAAGATGACTTTGAACATGCAACTTATGCAGGGTATGGTCACTAAAGTTTAAGGAGTTGAGTCCTCGTTCGTTTTAGTCATTTTATTTGGTCAACGAACCGTCGTAACGTAGTTCGGGGTTCTTGGAAAGACAAGTCAAGGGTATTTTTCAGTTGTGGGCTGTGTTCCAAACTGCCCGGGTTAGTCTTGTAAGAATCCTAAACTAGTTGCTCTATCTACAGGCAGCTCAAGCTCCAGCTGAGAATTGATCATTTTGCGAAATAAGAGTCGTGGCGTAAATATAAGAGTTTGTATGGAAATATTTACGACCGCTCTTAGGAAGTAAAACTGTAGTAAATTCTCAATAAATACCTCACCTTACTTTCACATTGCATTACTTCTTTTGTGACCGCTTACTATATTGAAAAGAAGCCATTTAAACGAGTTATCCATTTCTAGGTTTACTACTCCTAAAAGAACGACGAGGCCGCACACTCCCATTTCCGAACACCCGATCCGCGAGGGAAAAAATCCAAGTTCAAAATGACTGGGTGGCCACAAATCCAACGCAGAATCCAAGCACATTTACTGTAGTTTCATTTCAATTCACTACCAACTCAATCTTCCCCGTGAAACCGACGCTAAGCCGCTGTTTGCTTCCAAATTGCTTGAGTGGTTCTAGAACAATTTGTTGATGCCAAAAGACGATGTGGTCCCCAGCGAAGCTCAGTTTGCAAAGGCGGCAGGGTTACCAAGTTGGTTTTACTTCCTAAGAGTGGTCGTAAATATTTCCATACAAACTCTTATATCTTCGCCATGACTCTTATTTCGCAATTGTTCCAGAACCACTCAGCTCGCAAAGGAGACAGAGATACCAAACTGGTTTTTAACGGTCGTGTGTCGTGGGAAATGTGTACGCTGGTCGTAAGAAACGTCTGAACAGGCAATTTGAAAGTAAACTGCAGGTTAGCGTCGGTTTCACAGGGAGGATTGAGTTAGTAGTGAATTGAAATGAAACTGCATTAAATGTACTTGGATTCTGCATTGGATTTGTGGCCGCTCGGTCATTTTGAGCTTAGAGATTTTGCCTCTCGGATCGGGCTTTCGGAAATGGAGTGTGCAGCCTCGTCGTTCTTTTAGGAGTAGTAAACTTAGAAATGGATAACTCGTTTAAATGGCTTCTTTTCTGTATAGTAAGCGGTCACAAAACAAGCAATGCACTGTGAAAGTACGGTGAGGTATTTATTGAGAATTTACTGTAGTTTTATTTCCTAAGAGCGGTCGTAAATATTCCCATACAAACTCCTACATTTTCGCCGTGACTCTTATTTCGCAAGATGATCATCTCACAGCTAGAGCTTGGCTGCCCGTGCTCTATCAGTTCAGACGCTCTCTAAATTTGCCCCTTTTGATAATCTCTGTGCTATGACATAAGTAGAAATTTATGGATGGCTATAAATTAGAATAAAGGAGGTAAGTTTCTAAAGAAACTGTGGTGCTGCGTCGGTGGAAGAGTATAACAGGGTAATTTAGTATTATCAACTAAGTTGATGACGTAAATTGGCCTCCGTAACCTATGTTATGAATGAAAGGACAAGTTTTGCATCGAAAGCTAGCGCAGAAGTTCATTTCAAACCAATGGCCAATCTGGAACTTTCAAATGCGCTTGCTCACGGTGCAAAATTTGTCCTTTCATTCATAACGTAGAGAAAATGTCGGGACCCAAGAGATCCATTAAGATCACTGATCACTTTACGTGCACTTCCGCCGATGTCATTTACTGCATATCTTGCAATTAATGCACAAAGTTATACATTGGTGAAACAGGAAGACGACTAGGTTACCGATTCCGAGAACACCTTCGCGACGTAGAAAGAAATGACAAGGACGCATCTAAACCAGTCGCTAGACAATTTAATCTCCCTAATCATTCTAAGCAGCATATGGCAGTTTGCGGCCCTTCCCTACATCAAGGCAGTTTGGAAAGCTGCAAAACTCTAGAACAAAAATTTATCGTTCAAATTGGCACTCTTAATCCCCACGGTATCACCGGGCGCTTTTCTTTCAACTAATTTAATCTTGTTTTCTCTTCACCACATTCCCACCGATAGCGTAGCTCCATTTTCTACATAGAAACCCACACACAATAGCTCTGACGAAGGGCTAACGCTCGAAACGTCAGCTTTTAAACTCTTTACGGAGGCAAATTTACGTTATCACCTAAGTTGATAATACTAAATTACCCTATAAATTAGAAGCCGAGATCTGCAGTAAATACAAACCACAATTAGAAAACTTTGAAAATTAAAAATTTTAAAAGTAAGTGGTACTCTCAATACCTTCGCAAAGATATGACAAACAATTCAAGTAATACCTGAGACAGACTCTTCTTTTAGTGGCTTCACAACCTCCAGGAAAGACTCCTTGCATGCCAAGTAGTCCTCTTCATTAATCTTAATACTTAATCTTAAAGCTTTCAGATCAAGTTCCTTTTTAAGTTCAGTCGTTACCAGGTATCTTTCAGCCATTCTGTTGAGGTCGCCATGGTTGCAGTCTTTCCACAGTCTTTCCAGGCTCTCCAGATTGTGGCATTGCACTCGTATTTCTATGCAGCCATAACCTAATGCCTCTGTGCGCAGTTTGTAAATGTTTTCTATATACTTAAGGAATTCACCTATTCCTCCAGTTGGAGAAAGTTCGTTGTTGTCCATGAACATTAAAATGTCCTCCCTAAAATGCCGTTTGAATTTCTCCAGTTTTTCAGCGCTAAGATTCATGGGGACGACTTTAAAAGGAACGTCATGTTGCGCCGTAACTGTGCCTAAAATGAAAAATAATAACACAAATAAATGATTTCACAACCTCACCTTTTGTCTAAAAAATTTCAAACACTGTCGTGGCCCGACAATGAGTCTTAATAACGGCACAATCAAGAGAGGAGGCTCCGAGCACAACACATTCCCGAAAAATCAGCAAGCAGAACATTTTGACAGTCCAGAGTGGGGTGAATTAACAGCAGCTTTTCGAGAAAGAACAAGGTAAGGGAGAGTGACGATGATCACATTGCCGATGTAAAAGGCAAAGGCGGGGAAGAGGAATTTTTTTTTGTGGGGAGGGGGGAAGGAAGGGGAACGTAGGACGTCCGTTTAATTTGGAACAGAACCTGGACTAACGTTCAACTCTTATTTGATCAATATTTACTTCTTAATGAGTGGCTTTATAGAATTATGGACGCATTGTAAATTTTTCTAATTCATTGCTGAGTAAATGAACAAAACATAAGATCACTTTCTCACTAATATTTTGGTGGGAGCGGTGAAGTGGAACAACAAAATAGATTGAATTGGGGGAACTAAGTAATATATGAACGAAGTCAAATATTACGTGTCGAATGCGTACTTGTGAGAGATCTTACCTTGGTCAACAACTTCTCTCGATGATGTCAAAGTATGTAATATTTCCTTCTGCGCATGTAACAGTTCCTCCTGAATTTTCCTCATCTCGCCTAGCTCTTCTTTAACATTACTTTCGTCCTTTTTCCACTCACTCAGGAGCTTCACGTAGTGATCTTCAATATCAGGGTCCATGGTCTCGTTTCTAAGTTTATCAATAGCATCTTGATAAGTAACTCCTCCCAGTCTGACGAGAGTGTCCCGGATGTCACGCCAGAAGTTATTGAAACTGATGTCATCGACAGAAGCTTTCTCAGCGTGACCATACACAGTGTTCCTAAAATACTTAACTCGAGCAATGTCCGCTTCCCTGCTGAGGTCTGTTACAGCGGGTAATTTGTCCCAGCCGGTCGGCGGAGCAGTTAAACCGCACAAGTTTCGAAGCAGAACCATCAGGAGGGTCGTGTCAAAGTCACGTGAGGATACTGCAGTAAGGATAGCAGGAAAAAGTTTTCCCCATTGTATTGGATTAATAATCTTCTTTGCTCTGAGCGATTGTAAGGTGCGTTTGTTTGCCGCCAAAACTGAGTGTAAATTTCCCGGTGCATGGATGGCATCTAACGTATCTCGAAGAGCCTGGGTTCCAATATCAACCAGGAGACGACACAACCTGGCATAGTTTGTCGTCTCCTTTGAGGATGAAGTTGTTGGTGTAGCACTGGCCATTAATTAAACCTGTAATTTTTTGCAATAATTTTTGTCAAAATTTTCTATTTCTTTTGTCTTCTGTGTGATCCCCTAGGCATTCTTTGCGTGAAAGAAGGGGATTTTTTTAAAAAGAATATAGTTACTCTCTCTGGATGGGGTGCTAGTCCATCGGAGGAAGGCAGTCGCAACATCATTTTGCTATGCTCCCCTGACGGCCCATTGTAACCATATAAACGCCTATGTGGAGACAAAATTAACCATGTACCCAAAAACACACCCAGGTATCCCGTCAAGCCGGCCGGAAGTAACAAATTAAGATGTGCAGTCCAGCGCGCGAACCACTGGGGTAGTCTGTTTCAATGAGAATTATGAACTTGGGTGATATTTGAACCCTAACGTGTTCAACTACATCGAAACTGATAAATTACATGACTGCAATCTGGACTTGGGGAATGCAAAACATTTATGGTGTGCAAGGTTATACAGTATAACATATTTGTATAGGTAATCACATGATTTCGAGTGTAATTTGGAATAAATAAGGTCGAGTAAATTTTTTCAATGACTAACAAAATTGCACGAGCCCGTATGGCGAGTGCAATTTGTGGTCTTTGAAAAAAAATTAGCAGGTGCTTATTTATTCCAAATTGCACGAGAAAAATCATGTGATTGCGTATTAATAATATACACGAAAAAATACGAGATAGCTTATCGTAATTATGCAGAAGCAAAGCGCGCGAATCAAGTGCAAAAATAATTTATTCAAACCTAGCAAGTGACTTTGTACGTTCGGTCAAAACAACCGCGTACGATCAAAACAATAATATACAATTATATTTTCACACCTTTAAGGCGCAAAAAAGTTCAAAGTCCGGCTAAACAGTTTAAGGAATTGTTCAGTCTGTGTCCGAATCACTTTCGATGAAATGGAATCGTCGTTTCGAGGTTTAACCATGTTTGTTTTTAATTTCAGCGTAGAATCGCTCGAATAAAGTGTTAAGCTGGGTCGGCTCGTAATTTTCGATTTCCTTGGCAATTCACTTCTCTAAACACCACCTTTTTCCAAACAGACAACCAAAAAGCTGTATTGTTGTTGCGGTGGCGAAAGAAAACCTACTTGATACACCGGCCATCGTTTCGCTCCCAAATTCTAAGCCTATCCAAATGTTGTGACATCCAATGCTCGCACTTGATTAGCTATCCGTGAGTTTTTTTATTAATGACCAATCAGAATGTCTCGTTTTTTACTTCTTTGCACTAAATTAACCCTGTTCTGCGCTGAATTACCTGAAAACTGCATTTATCTTAACCAATCAGAACTGAGTAATATTTTCATGTATATTATTAGGGGAAAAAGAAGATTTGAGCTCTGAGGCAGCCTCATTCATAACGCAACATACAAATGCAAATTTTACATTTCAGTAATAGCCGCGTCGCTTATACAACTGATTTTTGTTAACCCAACGTTTTAGGCTGTGACGGCACTAGAGGCTGAAAAAACTGTAAACATGATACAAAAAGACACTACAGAAACACTAAAACCCTTTAGATTGATTAAAAGATTCTAACTCGAGGCTTTCGAAGTTTGGCGGTACAGTTACTCTGGTTTCTAAAATGCGTCCTGATGGTCGCGTGGCACTAGAACAAATTCAAACATTTACCAATTTTGCCCGAGAAGGAAATAGACAAAAGTCTCGCAATTTCCAAATTTTGGCAGTAAGTGTATTAGTGATGTTTTCGACCAAAACTTGTTGACGACACTGATGGGCCGAAAGGTCAATTACATACCTATCCACACACCCATTATTGTTTATAGAAAACTTCAATGACTAGACAAGAAAGAATCGTAGCATTTGGCGACTCAGAGCTAACTTCCATTACTTTCTTCTCTAATGTCGATGAGTTCTTCGTTTATGGGTGCGCGCTTCAAGTATTTCGTATCTCGAAAAAGAATGGTCCTGGTTGCTGCATTAACCAACGTGAAGTGTCTATTCCCTGGGTCCTAATGTTCACCTGCTTAGCCGGGTGAAATTGCGAGTCTAATTTGTTTGGCTTCATATTTGCGCAAAATACGACATCGCCAATATTGAAATTGTGCAAAGCCGTGTGGGTTTTTGCATCGTGATATAGCTCTTAATGCGTAATTGATACTGTTGACTCTAACACGAATCTCTTAGTCAAATTTGTTGTTCAGACACGACTCGACGTGCGATACCTTCACAAGAATTTCGCTATTGAACAACATTTTCCACTAACTGGATGAGACATCAGAATTTTAGGTAATTCTCCTTCCCATGATTTGTCTTCTAAAACGGCAGCTCGAAAATTTTCTTAAGGTATCTGTGAAAACGTTATAGCTTGGCATTGCTTCTTGCATAATAGGGAGACACGAGCGTGCTTAATTCCGCAAGATTTGAGGAAAGTTTCGAACTCTGCACTTACGAATTGTTTATTATAGTCAGATACCAATTCTTCGGGAAAACGCAACAAAAATGGAACTACAATTCGGTTCCCTCTCAGAATCACTCCTTCATAGAGAGATAATTCGTCTTTGATTGTCTTAAATGGCTTCAATTTACCATTGTGCGACCATTTAACGTTTTGAATTTGTGCAATTAACTTTGACAATGTGCCATCTTTTGCTGTTTCGCGCCTCAAGTCTAATAGAGTGATAGCTTGCAGATCTAGCATGTTGCGATTGTATACAAATCGCACATAGTTCGACCGCTATCGGAGCTTTTATCACACTTTGAAGGTAATCGAGACAGCGAATCTGCTGTGTTAGCCTTTCCTGAAATATGTTGAATATTAAAACTGTACCGATGTAGTCTCCAGGCTAAACGCTGAATACGCTGTGGCAGGACCTTACTGGACAAAGGATCAAACATGCTCGAAAGAGTTTTGTTGTCCGTCAGTAACGTAAATTGTATCCCAAACAAAAGGTTGTGCAAGCGTTCGACTGCCCAGACACATCCAAGTGCTTCACGTGCGATGTGCGAATACGTACGCTAGTTAGTCGTCCATGATCGACTTAAGTACGCGATTGGTTTTCATTCAGCTCCGTTTTGGACTTAAAGGAGGATAGCTCCTAAGCCTACTGGACTGGCATCCGAGATTACATACGTGGGGGCATTTAGACGGAAGCATGCGAGAACGAGCTCACAAGACAAGACTTCCTTCAAAGCTTCGAATGCCTCTGTTGCTCCTTTTCCCATGACCATTTCTCTTCGTTTGGGGTGAGCTTTCTTAGAGGTTCTCCTGTTTTCGCGTAGTTCGGTAAGAATTTCGTAACATAACCGCTCGTTCCAAGAAATGACCTGAGAGCAGGTACTTTCTCAGGCGGTGGCGTAGCTTTGATTGCTTCGCAGTTTTTCGGATCGGACTTGTTATCGTCGACAGATGCTACATGACCTAAAACCGAGATCTTAGTAATGCAAATTCTTCGGTTTAGCCTTAGGTTTCTCTGCCGTCGTGGCGATCGATATTTGTACTCCGTCGATTCCAAACAAAATTTTTTCCATCATCTTTTGGAAAGCTTCGCTTGTATCACCAAGATCGAAAGGAGTACCCTTAGATCTAAAGAAACCTCTAGGTGTTATGAATGTAGTAACGTTCCTAGATTCTTTAGCTGAGGGAAGCTGAAAGAAACCACTCTTAGCATCGATTTTTGCGAAATACGTTGAACCGTGCCTTGCTTGCAAGTATCGTCTACTTTAGGTAGTACATAACGTTACCTAATTACGGTCTTATTGACTTCTCTGAGGTCACACCATGCCCTTAATTCAACCGATTTCTTGGGAACTATCTCTAGGTTTGACGCTCACAGACTAGCCTCACTGACCTCCTCGATAACATCATCTTCAAGCACTCTGTCAGGTTTGTTGTTGACACCTTCAATGTGGCTAAAGGATATACGTCTTAGATGCTGACTAACTGGTTAAACGCTGGGATCAATGGCAATATTATGTTCAAAGTTAGTTAGTTTCCCTATCCCATGAAAAATTTCGTCAAATTCGCGAAGTAAAGAATCTAATTAACTATTTCCGTTGGTTTTAGGGGGGGCTTGGTTTGTTTCCGATAACATTCACTTGTTTGATTATCTCCAAATCGAAACTTGAGTCTCTCCCTAGAAGGGAATCTGAATGACCCTCTAGAACATATCCTTTGGCTGTAATCATGTTCTTGCCTCCTTAAAGAGTAGCAATAACCCTTACAACTTAATGCATCTTTTCGTCCATAAGCGAAAAATCGCTTTTAAGTTCTTTTCGGTTCGTAAAGCTATGTAACGCAATTTACTACAAGTAGATTTACCATACAGTACTCGCAATTAGTTAATTTACTTCAACATAGGAAAGTAGATTTATAACACGACTGAGTATATGAAGGAAATGTCCTTACAATAGTAACGCTGTGTAACGCAATACACTAAACACAATAATAGGCCTTTTGTGGCCATAACCGGTCTCAAACACTGCACTTAAAATGCATAAAACACGCCTACCATTGAAGAGCTTTTAGTCAGAGCTGTTAAAGAAGGATCAAAGCGACCATTCAAATCTTTGAAAGGCTTCAAACTACGACGTACATCAAATTTGACCTTCTCGAAAACCGGTCTCAAATTACATACTAAAAAACAGTGACTACGTTTGTCCTTGAGAATTGTCTATTAAATACGCGACAAATACGTACAAAAAATACTTCTTCACATTCAAAATAAATCAAATTTAATGTACCTGTGGTAAAAGAAAAAAGGAACGACCTAACTTGAACGGAATGTTCAGTCAAAATCTTCCGATTACGGCCTCTTTCACCGCCATATTGAAAATAATGCTACCACAATGCAACGGAATCGGAGTGCGCACACCGCCTGACTTAAGCGCCAGCGTGAGGGTCTGTCAGGGGTCTGGAACTAATAACGAGTTGTTATCGAAAGGAAACTATTACAACTAGTTATAGTTCTCACTAGAGCTGCCCCCGCCCTACAGTACCATCATCAATCAAATCAAAAATCGAAATCGAGATTTTTTTTGGTTACGATCAACCGAAAACACCTACATTCTCTCTTCTCCAGTCTTCCTCTATACTAGGACAAATCTCGTGTCAAAGACGCCGATCCTAAAAGTCCTCGCGCGCGTGTCTTTTTACTGGCAGCCCATGACCATTTGCGGGAAAAACGTTGATACCTTGCGGCCGTGCAAGCGATCAAATCGAGATTTTTTCTGGTTATGATCTACCGAAAATACCCACATTCCCTCTTCTCCAGTCTTCCTCTATATTACGCGGGGAGTCCTAAGGTGCCTCCTCGGGTTTTTGGCCCTCTGGGGCCAAAAACCCTGCGGGGGCAATTAAAAACACTTAAACGAGGGAAAAATTGAGCTTAGGTTATATGTTGTTCTGCATATTTATGCATGGAGCACTCTGAGGATAAGTGAAACAACGTATACACCTTATTTACATATTTCTTTTCACCAGAAAATCCGGGTAAGCTACTTCCGGCTTAGAGTTCGCTCGATGTCATTGCCATGTCAGGTCCCAAGATTTATTCAGAGAAGTAAAGTTAACGTGGATGATTTTTCAATTGCTAGATTTAAGTCAATTTGCGAGTAATTACGCAGGTGACATCAAGATAAATTAGATTCTCAAGATCTTTTCTTTCGGTTTCTTCCACCATAATTATATAGACAACCACAACGTGCGACAATGCGAATATTGGAGATTCATCTTGAAAATGGCTCTCTGTGTTAACAGATTACGCTGAAGACGTTTCCAAATGTATCAAAACTGATGCATGAGTTGTAAAACGTCTATAAAATCGAAAAAAACGGAAAAAGGCAGTACTTACCCCGGTCATCGCCTTCGAAGGTTGTTAGTTTCTTGCTGAAGAAGAATGCATTACGTGACTATGACCATGACCATGACCATGACCATGACCACGTGACCACCCCACATTGTTTGTCGTCATGCAATAACATTTCCCCACCAGAAAGAAAATTAAGCACGATTTCTTTCTGAGAGTATTTAGGAGTTTTCAGCGTTAGCTTTTGTCCATTTTGAGAAATGGACTGGACTGGACTTTGATTCTCCGCGTCTTGAGTATCTTTCTTAGTTGAACTCGCCTTGGCATTGGAAATTTTGGAAACTTTTTGCGGTAGGTTTTAGTTCCTAAATTTATTCTCTGGATAGTGGAGTGCCTCTTTGAGTTATATTCGGTTTTAACGAAGTCGATCTAGGTTGCTTATGAGGTGTTGAGATTTTTCAGTTGGGTCAATTCTGGCCTCTTAGCGGAACATGTTAACATGTAAACACGCAGAAGGGTGAGGCAGATAGACAGTGAATCACAACTTGAAGTGAATGAGACAAAAAAAACCCTGAAAATATATACCATCAATTGCTACAACATCTATTGCACCATTTATTTACTACAAAGAGGATTGTTCTCGTGCATGCAGTGTTCTTAAAAATTAGTAGGGATGTTGGGAAACATCCAGTTCCTTAATACACATGCTAAGCAAATTGGTAAAATTTCCGCACAGCCCCATACTATTGTAAAAAAAATCTGTTTTCCCAATGGCAATGTATTGTTTTGTCATTGTTTTCTCTATCCAAGAACTGAATGCATAATTTAGTATGGGGCTGAGCGGAAATTTTACCAGCAAATTATATATTATGATTAATATTTATTCAGAAAAAGCAAAATATTTCTGTGGTTTCCTGGGTCATAATAGAAAAAGTCTCACAGTGCTGTCTTTTACTGTGAAGTTTTTTCTTATAACAGGTGAGTAAAATCAAAACAAACCTTAAAAAGAAAACCCTCCAGATTTCAAGAGGATAGTTTTGGAATTGAGGATAATTCCAAATGGAAATAATACCCAAACTGGATTCAAGTTTAAATTGTTGTTAGGTCTTTAGCCAACGAATACAAATCTTGCAACTTTTGGTGATTCTAACCCCTGAAAGTTGAAAAATTTGATCACTTGCTAGCTCACAGTTCACACTAGTCAGCTCTCACTTGTAACAAAAACTTTTCACTATTACAGCCGTGCATCAACTGACACCTTTTAAACAATATATATGATAAAAAAGACTTGTCACAAAAAATAGTCAAGGAAGAGAGAAGTATTTAATAAATGATTATGCTTCCCAAGGAGCTGAGATTGTGTCAGAACTCTTTGGGATATCTTTGGGAATTTTCTGAATCTTCTTGAAATTTGTGTAGCTATGTCAGATTTTCTTTGAGAGCTGTTAAAGAAATTCACACTATTGACTCAAGAAAAAGTCACCAGATATTAAAAACTTGTGTGACCTACCCCTCAACTAATTCAGACCTGGGTATTTTTTGTCAAGATCACTACAACTATAAATAAATGTTTTGGATCTTAAACAGAGATATAAATCAAGGTACTCAAAGAGACTCAGGAAGCACTTGTGGATACAGTGTATTTCAAACATGTCTGAGGAGGAGAAAGAATGTCTGGCACATTATTATTCTCCAAGCATGTGGAATAAGCGAATGGACCCAGGAGAAGTAGTAGATTATCATGTAAACATCTGTACTAGCCACAGTGAAAATGTGTGCAAAAATTCTCACTGGGAACCAAGTGTCTGTTATGGTGAAAAGAAAGCTAAGATGGATATATGTTATCCTTCTCAAGAAAATTATGACACAGCTGTAAATGGAAGTGGTGGCATTTGTGCACCAGTAGTACTGTTTGTTCATGGTGGGTACTGGCAAGCAGGGAGCAGGAAGACTTATAGCTTTGTTAGTAAATCATGGACTAAAGCTGGTTGTGTTGCAGCAGTGGTGGGTTATAACCTTGCACCAGAAGCGAGCTTGCATCAGATGGTGAGTGAAATAAAGTCAGCAGTGAAATATATCAATACCAGGTTTCCAAAGTCCAAACTGTTCTTTTGTGGCCATTCAGCTGGGGCACATTTGTGCGCTATGATGATGGTGTCAGACTGGAGCAAAGATCCTTCAATTCCACAAGCCATTCATGGTATGTTCTTGTTATCAGGAGTATTTGATTTGGTACCTATTGTAAATACTTATGTTAATGATGTATTAAAACTGACTTATGTTAATGATGCATTAAAATTTTAATACCCTGTCCACATAAATTCTAAGAATTTCTCAATACCTTGAATGTGAAGGTTTTAAGAAAAAGAGTAATTTCCCTTTGGCTCAATTTTGGTTTATAACTTAAAGTTATATTTTATTACTCAAACTAAGTTTTAAGGATTTTCTCATGAACCAGCTGTCAGTTATGTTAAATGGAAATTGCCAACTTCCACAATAATTAACAATAATTACATTGTTATCTTACTTCCCTAACCTACATTACTGGTTGCCTTTGTTAGAAAACCTTGGAACAGTCAAGCTCAGTTGCCTCCAACGCTGTCAGAGACTTTTTGTTGACAATACTTTTAGTAGAAATTTCATGCCTTAGACAAACAAATTCAACACCTAATTAATCTTTCTTTTTTCATGATTGTTGTTGCTGCTTTTTTTTTTCAGTTTTTTGCTCTATTTCCATAACTAATTGCTGTAATTTGTTTTGCTGTTTTTATTCTTACAAAACATTTTTGTAAGAGTTCCAATACTTGTGGATCATCCACACACTTTGCAAACATTTGGCATGCAGACAAGACATAGTCAATGTTCCCTTTGAGGAAAAACACCTTTTATATGACGTCTTCAATTTACTTTATTTGAAACTCTGATCTGAAAATATTTGTCAACAAGACTTGTTAGTAGTGAAATACTGACAAAGAATCTGCTGCACAAATCAGTCCTCAACAAATTCTGATAAAGATGTTGCCAACAATTTGTGTGCCCTATTTTGGTTGTGATTGAAGAGCATGGTTCCGGCCAGAGTTTCATCGACAGGCTAAAGAATTTGTTGAAATCTTAAAAATTCATAATGTTCAGTGTTCTTTGCTTGAGCTACCAGGAGTAGATCATTTGTTGAAATCTTAAAAAGTCATAATGTTCAGTGTTCTTTGCTTGAGCTACCAGGAGTAGATCACTTTAGCATGATTGAAAACATGGTAAATAGTGATGATCTCCTCTGCCAGGAGATTTTAAAAGTTGTCAGAAATATCAACTCAGCAAGGAGTGAAATAAGAGTCAAAGGTCCAAACTCAAGTCTTTAATTTCACTTTGTGAATGGCTTATGCATTTACCCTGAGTTTATAAAAATTGTAGTGCATAGTTATGCTGCTATTTAGAGGTTTTGCTCAGTATTTAAACTGATGGATTGAATTTACTAATGATTCTGATAGCATGATCTCTCAGGGAAAATGTACATTTTTGCTATTTTTTTTTTTCACAAGTTACTTGAAATCATAATTTAGAAAATATTTTAATCAGCAACTAGTGTCAAAAATCAAAATTACCTTGAAAACTGGCTTTGTCCAGAACATTTTTAAGGTTTTCCTTCAAGTAATTATTACCAAATGCAGATACATATTTTTTTTATTACAGTCAAAATAAAGATGCTGTGTGTATAATTATCATTTAAATTTTAAATAATTAAAACATTCGAAATTTACTTTCTGATCTACTGGTTTACAAGAATGATCAATTATTTATAAACACTTTATACCCAAACATCAGTATGCATATTCTCTGTACTGTTCTCTATGCACCCCTAAGGTGCTGACAAGGAGAATTTGTTTAACAATCAAGAGCATCTCAAGTTGATGATCATTTCCTTTATTCTTGTGACCTTGCTGTGTGATTCAAGGGAGATATTGTAGGGAGAAATTAGATGCTAATCACTCTTAGGGGTCAGAGGGTTGAGGCTGCCTTATTTGGTCACCAAAACAAATGGATGACAGCCATGATGGCTTTCAAATCAGTTCTGAGAGATTAAAGTTCTTTTGTAGTGCAAAAAGTTGCTTCAACATGGCTGCTTGCTACTGGATCGAAAGCAGCCTCTCAAAAAAGATTTTGGATGGACATGCATTGATCAGAAATTGTCATCCCTTGAAAATTATAGACCCTCTGATGCAATAGCAGATTTCCTATCATGTTCCCCTTGCACACACAAAAAATATGGAAAGAACATTTTTCTACAATACTGTCAGGTTATCAGATTATTTTTTAGGGTTTTTGTCAGTTCCTCTGGAGTCAGTTGAGTAAATTTAGAAAGAGATACTTGGATTTTATTACATGAAAGTCTAAATTACTCCACACAGCTTTAAGTTAGAGTTTGCTTGAATTCATTTCCTTGCATGTGTTTTTGTTGGATCCTTTTTGTTTCAGTGTTTTTAGAGTTGTTGTTGATGCCTTATCTGTGGTCTGATCTCTGTGCAGTGTGTGTAAGGCCATAAGGTAGGAGAGGGTCAATGATTGTAATATTGCACCCTAACAATATATGTAGATAGTACCTGCTTCTGGTTGCCTGAAAACTAGTGCATTTATCATGCAACACAAGTGCAAAGTTGTTGCACCAGTGCAAATTACTAATAAAGCGCACACTCTTAACCGTTTGTCTGTCCTGAATTTCTGCTCTGCTTTTTTGGTGTAAATATTACTTAGTAATAACATGATTTCTTAACTGTAATATGGTGTAAATAAGTACTTGTAAATTTTTCAGACTACAAATTTTGGTTGTCTTTGAAAATTGTTCTCTTGTTTATTTACACTGAGTTGTGCTTGAAATCATGTTATTACCTACACCAAAAGAATTCAAGTAGTTTTTGTTGTTTTTTTATCTTACAGAGGTAAATATCAGAGGTACCTAATTGTTTCCAGTTGAGCTTGTACTTTTTCAAGCTTAGGTCACCTGTCATCCAGTGTTTGACTGTGATCAACTTTAATTGATATAATTTACATTAATTGTCCAGATAAAATTGTTTGCTTGGGAGTCTATCATGTCTGTATTAACCACTTAAAATGTTTATTGCCTGATTGCATAATAATAAATTTAATACCCATAACATACATATATTCATTTACATATGCTCATATGTGCAAAGATATTGCTGTTGATAGCTCTGCTTTAGACAATTAGGCAGGGGTATCAAAACAAGCCAGCAACTGCTAGAGTTCTGCTGGCCACTTGATAACATGTTGCCTGCTACTCTGCTCAAAATAATTATCTTTAATGCCCTTAACCCTTGAACTCCCATGTGTGACCAAGACAGAATTTCTCCTTACAATATCAATACAATATCAAGCAGACAAGTGCATGATGAGAATAAAAAGAAATATTAATTAGGGGATTATTAGTTGATCCAGTAACAAATTCTTGAAAATAACATCACAAGAACTATGTGGCAGATAGTAAGGAGAATTACTAATGAGATCTTGGGGGTTAAAGGGTTAAAGAACTTTTCACAGTCGCCCACTTTTGCATAGTCTGGTGCAATCTTCAAAATATTTTGAAACCCCTAAATAGGAGGGTTATTAAATTACTACAGGTAATCACAACCATTACAATTTCCTCAAATGTGATTGGTGCATTAGCTGCTTCACTTTTCACTTATTCTTCTGTAGAGTTGTAATCAGACAGTTGGTTGTAATTGGACATCTGTAATAAGACAGCCAAAGCAGCCAATCGCACTAAGTCCACTCAGCTAAATCCTCCAATTGATTACAATAATCATAGCAACAGCCACTTAAGTACCCTCCAAACCTGGGGAATTTCCAAAATGGAACAATTTTTCTCTTTAGAAAATGTCTCTACCAAAGATATCTTCTAAATAAATGTTACTGTTTTTTTGTTTAAATTGTGATGGTTATGATCAATTGGTAACAGGATTTCGTGTCATTGAAGTTGGTCAGTAACCATATACTTGTGATTAACAAATTAAACTCCATTGAAACTCCATTTGCTGCCTTTACCATTATTTATTGCAGTCCATTTGTTGGCAGAACAACCTGATACTGTAGCTTCTCAGTCTATTGTTGTATCATACAAGATTAATTCCCCCCTCCCTTCCCCCCATAGCCCCAGTTGAAATTATTTTTTAGCAAGCAGTTTAACCACTGACAGTAATATTTTCCGTACATCTTCATTTCTCCATGGTTATTTCATTTCTGTGTTTTTAGCAAGGAAGTCACTGCCCTGCATTACTCTTTTGTTGCAATGTATGTGGCCTTATTGGCAGGTGGCACTCAAGTGCAATCAGTATCATCAAACACTTATGTAAAATTTTTAAATATAACAGTAGTAGTATACCTCTCCACTCAGGGAGAGGAGGGAGGTTAGTTACAGACTTTGGATCATCTGAGATTAAGTCTCTTAACCCTTTAACTCCCATAAGTGATTAACATGTAACTTCTCCCTGTAACATCCACACATTATCCAGCCAACTTGAGACAAAAATACTCAAAGTTATCAGAAAGAAGTTAGTAGTCTTGATCTACCACCAAATTCTCATGATTTATTTTCAAGGAATTGTGTAGTAGCTAGAGGGGAGAATTAAAAATCAGATCTTGAGACTTTAAGGGTTAAGTTACCTGAAATTTTCTGAGTGTCAAGTGTCATTGACATTGATATTCAACAAATAGATACTTATATGTTCCCATGCATGGATCACCTCCAAAAAACACATTAGTTGCTTCCAGCTCACAGGTAGAATTACTTTGGCAGATTTTCTGCACTTGAGCAAGAGAATTCCCTGAGTGGCAGTTGGTGTCAGAAGTCATCCAGTGAGGACATGAGTGAGAATCTAGCCTGCCATAGTTTGCAGACAGAATGTTTATCTTTCCCTCTTTGTTGCATCTCAGTTGGCCAGATTCACCCTCACAGATTAAAAGGTGACCTGTTGAAAAAGTTGTTGACATCTGTATTAAAGCAGAATTAACCATTCAAAATTTTTTGATGGCTCAGCATTGCTCAATTCATTATGGAGGAGTTAGTTTTATTTTTCATTTTCAATCTTTGTTATTTAAGCTATTTATTTATCTATTAATTTTTCATTTTTCAATGTGCACTGGAATCTTTATCGAGGGGTGTGTAACTTGTTTCAGGCATTCGGCGGGATAAACGCTGTGAAAGCACAGGGTACCCAAGCTCTCTCTTAGTTCAATCCTCTGCTCTGTAACTCTGTAGATAATGAAGCAAATAAACTCTAATCTTCATGTTATGTTTTTTTTTTGTGTTATGTTCCTTCTCTGGTAGTGATTTCAGGCCATTTCGCCGAGTTTTAGCTGGGCTCTCAACAAGCAGTAGTGGAATGAGAAACCTGTCCCCATAGCAATAGTCTCAACTCCCTATTACCCTCTTAAAGAGAGCCTGGGCTCCCTGTGGTGAAATCAGCCGCGATAGCAGGTCCCAGCAGTGTTAGAGCTTAAAACGAGAAAGGACTCGGTCGGGTTCATTACGCGACCCGACCAAAGCCTCCCTCTTTTTTTCACTTCTTGGCTACTATCGCGCGGTAGTCTCGCACCCAGACCTTCCACGGCCAAGTGGTAGTGGTTACAGTTACACCGTAGGATCTATCGAATACCCTTCTGAAATTAAATCGCGCCGTTTGCTATCGCGCCTCATGTTACTCACTGAACGTCTGGAACAGGATGAAAAATTGCAATTTTGATTTCTAAGTAGGGTTTTCGTGTTTTTATCTTGGGTATAATACAGCAAACCGGGAGCATAAGAAAGTGCTAGCTGGGTGAATTGCGAGAGAAACCTGTCAAAGTGCTGTGATGAAAGTGGGGGGAGGGGAGGGGTTGGTTGTAACCCCTATGGATTATATCGCATCTAAGGAAGATAACAGGGGATCATTCATCCTTTACCTCAAGGTCTGAGATAACAAAAAATAATTGCTGCAGAAGAGTTTAAGAAAATTACATCCTTTAAATGCCCTAAGCTGGGTATGAAGCTTATAATCCTTTTAACTGCAAACGTGTGCGTGTTTGCTTGAGTTAGTTGAAATTAAGGAATAATTTAGTGCCTTTGATCAATATTCACTTTGTTGCTGTAACGAACCCCACTACTGAATTTTGACAACACCCACAATTTTCCA